AATCAACTTGATTGGATGTCGTGTGTGACAAAATTATGCATGAATAAATTACATGTTGAATTTTAGATAATATAACTTAAAACATCAAAGTTGTGGGAAGTGTTCATTAACCCGTGCATATCTTTCTCATGTGACGTCCAATTTTGGTGATTCAAGTTGGATTAGAAAGTTAACATAAAGAACTACAAATTTCATACTTTGAGTTTTGCCAAATTTTGACTTGAAAATCGTCAAGATCACATTTAAAATCGAAACGGTATTATTAAAACTGAAACGACATTTATAGTTGGAGGGAGCAAACTGTAACAACTAACAAAAAAGGAGGGAGTGAAGTGCAATTCATTCTTTTAAAAATTAATACTATAATCCTCACGGCATTATTCATCCCTTCGTGTGTGCAGGTCCAATATCAGGAAAAATTGCATCAACCTCCTTGAACTATACATAATTCGCATAAGCAACTCGGATTTTCGATATCATTTTCCATTCCCCCCACCTCCTTTTTACAAGAGAATTCTCAAGACAAATGTGACTTTATATATTCTGCTATTGACCAATAGCTTGCAGACCACGCGAGAGAAGTATGCGACCAACATTTTCTCTAATCGTTAAAGAAAAGAAAAAAAAGGGCTAAAGATGCTAAATGTATATAGTTTAGGGAGGTAGATGTAATAGATAAAAATAACTACTTCAATGGCTTCTCTCATTCAACACTCCAATTTTGCCATTCAAACACATCAAAAAATAACATTGACTAATATTATCCAAATTAGCTGTCATCCCATTTTCCCATATCTATAAATACATCATATTCCAAACTCAATTAGATCAAACAATCACACTTCCAATTCAATCAACAATGGCTTCTTCTTCTACTTCTTTGTTGTGTTCTCTTCTCTTCTTCTTCGTCCTCCTCGTTTTTCCCGCAAACGCTCAAAACGGGGTCCCGCTATCCTTAAAAAAAGACCCGAAAACCCGACAATACTACACCACAATAACAATGGGAAGCAATCGGTCCCCAATAAACGTAATCATCGACATCGGTGGGCCCTACCTATGGTTCTCGTGCAACGACTACAAATCGAACACCTACGCGCCGATCCCATGCGGCTCCCCCAAATGCGAGCTGGCGAAAGGGATCGGCTGCTACGGGTGCAACTTACCAAAACGCCCCGGGTGCACGAACGACACGTGCGCGGCCTCACCTTACAACCCGTTCACGAACATGTTGGTTTCTCAAGGGTTCTACGAGGACTCGTTCCACCCAGCGGGTCGACTCGCCCCGTTGCCCCGGTACATCTTCTCGTGTATGGATAAGGACTACTTGGAGGGGCTAGCTAGTGGGACCACCGGCATGTTAGGGCTCGGAAGGACCGATATATCTTTACACAAACAGGTGGCGGGCGTGTTCGGATTCGCCGATAAATTCTCCGTTTGCTTTCCTTCTTCTTCATCTTCGTTAGGGTTTGGGAAGTTGTTGGTCGGGGGGATTGTGTTTACCGAATCGACTATCGCCACGAAAACGACGCCGTTGGTTGTGAATCCGGTGAGTACTTATCCGATTTTTGTCGAGGGGGAACGCTCCGACGAGTACTTCATCGGAGTGAAGTCGATCAGGGTCGCCGGAGAAACAGTCTCCGTCAAGGATTCGTATTTCGCGATCGATAAGAACGGAGTCGGCGGGACGAAGATCAGCAGTCTGCAGAACTTCACCGCGCTGCACAACTCGATATACAAGCCGTTCGCTAGGGCTTTCGTGAAGGCGGCGGCGAATATGAAGATCAAGAGCGCGGCGGCGGTGGCGCCGTTCCGGGCGTGTTTCAAATCGGAGACGATCACGAGGACGGCGGCGGGGGCTCTGGTGCCGGACATTGATTTCGTATTGCCCGGAAATGATGTGTACTGGAGGATCAGCGGAGCAAATGCGATGGTTGAGGTTGACCGGAAAACAAGCTGTCTTGCATTTGTCGACGGCGGATCGGAGCCGAGGAGTTCGATCGTGATCGGAGGGCATCAAATGGAGGAGAATTTCTTGGAGTTTGATTTGGTGAATTCTCAGCTCAAGTTCAGTTCTTCCCTTCTGGTGCAGAACAAGACCTGTTCAAATGTTATAGTTTGACTTTTTTTTTTTTTTTTTTTTTAATTTGTCTGAATTTGTTATTGTAATATTATGATTTTTGTAATTGGTTTATTAGTTGAATTGTGTGTGTGTGTGTGTTTTTTTACTTGGTTTTTCTGTAATAAAAGTGTGAGATTTACAGTTGGATCTTCAATATTTTCATACTTAATTTTTCCACCTCCTTTTCATTAATGTATTCTTCCGATTACACCTCGCTGGCGGCACCACCGGCATGCTCGGCCTCACCCGGGGGCGAGATTTTGATCCACAAACAGGCGGTGGAGAAGTTGAACTTGCCTGATAGATTCTCGATTTGTCTCCCTTCTTTGGGCCTCGGGAAACTATCGATCGGAAGTCCCTGATCACAAACCCTGTCGGCGAACCGTCTTCTTGATGTCCAATCAATCAGAGTCGCCGGAGAAACCTTTGTCCGCGATAAATGCTTATTTCACCATAGAGATAAAACGAGGACGGTGGCACAAAAATTAGCACCATACAGAACTATACTTGTCTCCGCCTATACTGCACGGACACTTCTAGAAGGTGAAGAGTCCCCGTATCCGACACCTGGACACTCGGACACCCGTATCGGGCCGTGTCGTAATTTCGCTAAAATTAGAACATCCGTATCGGGCAGTGTCCACAATTTCAAAAAAAAATGGACACTTCTCTTACGTTTTAAGAGAGAGCCCTAATAAAAAAAAATGCCGCATTTTCTTTTTTCTGTAATA